CCATCAAAAACGCCACGTATCCCTGGAGATTATCATAGAAAGATGTAAGCTTTGCATTGCAAGAATGGAGCAACTTTTGTACAGTTGAAAATTACTCACCAAGTGGTAAGTATGGCTTCATTCTTAAACCAACTTTACGGAACATAACACGTTCTTCATCTGTGATTGTTTCCTGGTCATAATCTGGACCAGCTGGAACCATAGATGCTTCTATTTTGGCTAACAGCTTTTCTGCTCTATGTTTTTTGACCTGGGCCTATTCAGACATTAGAATGGTAAATATGAGCAAAGAAAGTCCAAAGTTGTTAAGACAACCATAAAAAAAAACACTATATATATATATATGTGTGTGTGTGTGGGTGGGTGTGTTTCTAACCGTTGCACTTAGCAAAATCACATACATAGTAGAAATAAGTTACATCTAAATCTAATTATGCATGCATATATTTTATCCAGGATCCACCTAATTATGCTGCAGTCCTTATTGCATATATTGCAGATATAAATTACAGGCTGCTGCAAGCAGACAAACAAACAGCAGCAAAAATTAAGGAGAAAAAAAAATCTGGTAGGATTTATATTCTGATCAATCAAGAATTCCAAGTCTGACGTTCTCATGATATAAACCAAGTACTATCTCAAGCATATATATCTTTATAAAATATATAGATACTTACTATAGATAGTTTATGTTCAATTTGTCTGACAAGCTTGACAGTCTTGGCTTTGGCAGCTTCTTCCATCATCTTCTCACGTTCTTCACTAGATATTTCTCTTCCCCATCGAGCCTGGGCCTCGTAGAACTCTGCTAAAGTCCCAGCCAGCACTTTTGCTTCAACTTGCTCTGATGGAATTGCATCAATTGCTCTGCACCGCACCTTGTCTTCAACATCCTGTACCTGTTTTGTCAATTCCTCTCTTTCAGCTAAAACTGCAGCCACACTTGTTGGAACAAAGTCTTTCCCACGGTATATAACTGAAATATTTATTCCTTAGCAGCAAGGTACCTCCTGTTAACATCTGCACCATAACAGGAAAAAAATCACTTTTCTGAAATTCAAATTGAAAGAAATAACAGCTAGTTCTCTATTCTTAGCTTATCATGTCTTAGCAATAAAATGACCACAGATAAAGAAAAAGAAAAGAAGATTTGACCACATTACGTTCAGCCAGCCCAGATAACGTGTTTAATATCTTCAATGTAACAGAATTGTTTTCAGATAAAATTAAAAAATAAAATAACTAGTGCTGAATGATGTTTTGGGTAAAAATTAAAAATGGAGAAGGCATGATAATTGTGAGACATTATTATTCCTAGCTGATAAAATTATAAGAAAAGGAAAATCAACTCTCAAAGATAAATGCATAAACAAATTATTATAATTTTGGTTGGCAGTGAGTGGTGACACTTACTGAATATAACATAGCCAGCAGCTTAATAAGACAAGCAGATTATAACCAAAAAAATTAATATAAATTTACATCCAATCGTGAATTTTTAATTGAACAGTCAGCACTTCTAGAGAATGCGATGCACTATATTTGATACAAGCATGAATGCACAAGCAAATAATTGCGAAATTGCAAATACCAAACCTTAATCTCCTCAGACATTAGTTCATTGTTCGTGTTCTGGATCCCACGTTTGACAGCAATCTTAGCAACTAAACTTTTCTCCCAAAGCTTAAGGATAGCACATGCCAGACCTTGGTGATTTCTATTTCTCCCTTCATTATGTTTCAGAAAAAACATGTATAAGTAAAAAAGAAAAATAAATTTAACAAAATCTTGCAATAGATGAATCTTACCTAAGGCAAAATGACAAGGAAGTGATTTTGCAAGCTTCCTTAAATTAGTCATCTCTGCATTTGTCAGCCGAGAACGCATTCCTGTAGGAAGAAGCCTAAACGGTGTTTTGTAACCTGGAACTGTCCGGGGAAGTAAATCAGCATCAACAGGAAGTATTCCCGTGCCCCACCATTCAACAAAACGAGGACCTAATTCATCAAGCAGTGCATTGTACTCTACTTCCGCCTCTGTCACATTCTTAGGCTGTTCTTGCTCCCTCACAACCACCTCACTCTTGTCCAGAGACGAGGTTGCATTACTGTCTCCACTTTTTAACAAACTTCCCGACGATACATCTGGCACAAAAAAGCCCTCACCTTTCTTCTTCTCAACAACTTCCTTCCGCGAGTCAAGCCCTTGGTAATCAATACCACGATACACCATCATAACACTTCCTGACCTCCACGTAACCAATCCTCCAGTTCGACGCTGCACACTACATCCTATCAGTCAACGTGTTCCTCAAACACAACACAAATTCAAAACATTCAACATACACTGAATCACATAGCATGTAACAACCTACTGACTCCATTGACATGGAAGACAAACATGCACATTCCAAAGCAACTTCCAACTCACCAAAGTCCTATCTAGAGAAACTTCTCAATAAGTAATCAGAGGAAAAGAAAATAAAAAGATAATATGATTTAAACTTCTCTCATAAGTTAAAATGATTTAAACTTCTCACAATGAAATGAAGTAACTAGTGAGAGTAATATTTTTTGACACCTTTAAGAAAACTCAACTAACACTATGCATTTATCTGTATATCTCTCTTCTTATCAGATCACATCACTTATCAGATATTAGCTTCTCTTACTCTTCTCTCTCTTTCTAGGTGTTGACACTAGGGTGTCCATAGATCATTTGCAAACTAGTAATAATTGCAAGAGCCATGTTTGCGTATCATGAAAGTGCAAGAAATTGAACCTCAACAATGTCATGAGCCTTCTTCATGTCCCTTGCAAGCTCCTCATGAAACTTGAGCCTCACCAGCTCCTCCTTGCTCCACCTCTTGTGAATCTTCTCCATGACCTCCTGAGTGAGTCCAGCCTTGGGGACACTAACCCTCTCCCTCACACGCATCCCCTCTCTTCTCAACCTCCTCAAAAGCTCATCCTCCAGGGTCAACTCCGCCAAACTCGGAGCCCTCACCCTCCTCTCCCTCAAACCCTCTTCTCCATCACTCACCACCACCACCTCCTTCTCCTCCTCCCTCTCCCACGGCAGCATTGTCCCCTCCCCCTCCTCGTCGTCCCCGGCCGCCAACGCGGCGTCCGGCCGAACCCACTCTCGCCGGAGCAGCTCGACGAGCCTCTCATCTCCGGTCACCGGCGGCAGATTACTCGCCGGAGATTCGTTTTCTTCTTCTTCTTCTTCTTCTTCTTGTTGTTGTTGTTGGTCTTCTTCCGTGGGCAAACCTACGTTGCGTAGCCGGAGGACGATTCTCTCGACGGCGTTCTGCGGCTTGTTGGCGGCGGCGCGGGGAGGGGGGTCGTCGGCGGGGAGGGTTTTGGGAGAGGGGGATTTGGTGAGCCAGGGTGCGGAGATGTTAGGTTTAGGGGTTGGGAGAGAAGCGAAGGCGACGGTGCGAATGCGAAATGGGGATTGAAGGAAGTGAGAGGAAGAGCGAGGAGGGTTGAGTGATGAGAGTGATGAATTGAAAGAGAATTCAGAGAGATTACAAGTGTTGGTGAACGCCATTGTTGTTGATGAGGGTAGAGTTAGTGATGCATTTTTATTTTTTGTTTGATGAGAGAACAGTTGCAGAGAGTGGAAGAACTACTACAAAGGAAAAGATGATAAGATATTATCATGCCTTTTTTCTTCTTTCACATGGATTTTTAGGCTTTTCATAATTTTTTATTCACTAAATTCCTTTTTTTACACTAACAATTAACACGATAATGTTTTCTTCATTTAGGATCAATTTTTCCAGTGAATAACATATTATTAAAAAAGATTCAGTTTTTTTTTTTATCAACATAATCCGTTTCAGATTTGATAATCCAAAAAAATTAATTCATACTTATGAAGAATAATTTTTATTCATCAAAATTATTTTAAAATTAACAAGAATCGATGTTAATGTTAAGAGTGTTATGAAAGTTTTTAATTTATACAATTTATTAGAGACCATTCTTTATAAAATTAAATTAATTAATTTTAATTATTAAATATAATTAAAAATTGTTTAATTTAATTTTAATTATAAGTAAATTTCTATTAAAATGAGTATTTCTTCTTATAACCATTCTTTTTCAATGATAAAATAAGTAGTTTAATGACTATGCATGTATAAAATTATTTTATATTGTCCACTCACATGTTTGGATGAATTTTTTTGAAACAAGTTTTAGATAGAAAAAATAAGAAGAGAAAAACTAAAATTCACTTTTTCATAAAAACATTTTTGTGTCAATCTACAGACTCTGCATTCGAGGGCTAGTGAAAAGTTTTGGTCTTAATTGTTAGTGTCTAAACAAAATTATTTTAGAATTATAATTTAAAATTTTAGTTTCAATCTTAATTATGTTAAAATCAGAATTAATTTAGAACTACAAATTTTGTGTTGAAGTTATGTGAAAAATTAAGGCACAAAGTTATATTTAAATTTAGTTATAATTTTTTCTTCAGATAAAATTTAATTTAAAACAAAATTAAGTATAAATTCACGTCAAAAAATTATTCATTACACTAATATTTTAATAAGTTAAATTCTAATAATGTAATAGTTATTTTAATGCAACAATTATATATATTTGTATTAAATCAAGATTTTATTTGATTAAATTTTTCTTTCCATTCCACAAATCATTCTTGTGATTCCATTTATTTGATCAATCCCTGCCAGGCTAAATTAAATTGGAGTTTTTTCTGAAAAATTTATATATATATATATATATATATATATAAAGACATACATGTATCCGATCTGTCCAAAAAAATTATATGATAATGCCACCTAATAGTTGCACTTGCATTAATCGAATGGCATAACTAAATCGTGTTTAGTCTTTTAAAAAAATTATAATGGGTTATTTTAATTTCTCTGACAAAAATTGCTACCAAAAATGGGCTAAATATTGGTTATTGGATGTAAAAAGCTTATATGAAATATGTCAAAATTTACAAGTATTACGAAAATAAAAACAGATAACAACAGTTACAGATTCATCTTTACGAAATGTATCATTCCTTTGAAGCACAATATAACAGCAAATGATTCTTTTTTCTATTGACATTATACAGAAATCCAGCCAGAGTCATTGAACCTAGTTTCCTGTGCAAGTGTGAGTACAGTAACTCCTTCCATTATTATGCATCCCCCTCCCCAGAAAAGAACTTACAAGAGCAAAAAAAAATAATAATAATCAAATAACCATGTACAACCTATATGTATAAGAAGACTATCTATTTGTGAAACATGTACAAAATCTGTCCTTGATGATTCCCATAAGCAAATATTGTGCATGGGAAAACATTAAATAATAAATACCAAGTTGATGCAGATCAGTTTCCAGCTGAAGAAGATCTCCTGCTCAGCGAAGGAGAAGAATTAATGATCTCTCGGCCAAGTTCCTTTATTTTGCTGAGAAGAAGCATTTGCTCAGTCTCTAGTTGGACTATATACCCTTCTTGTGTATCCTCTAGTGTTTCTAGCTCACTCAATGTGGTGGAGAGTCCTTCTAGATTTCCATCCTCTATGAAGGACCTGAACTTGATCATCATCTGTTTTATCTGATAAAGTCCAGTTTACACAATGTATTAGAATAACAGCATAATATGAAAATCATAACAATGATAACTTCACAGGATAAAAACATCTGTATTGCTCAAAACTTCATTCTTTGAGTTGAATTAGTATAGAGTCTCTTTGGATAAACTTCTCCAAAAGTACTTGAAGAAAAAAATAGAAAAGAAAATTGAAATAAACTTCTTCATAAGTTAAAATTAACTTATACATAAGTTAAAAATAAGATTTTGTAGAAGCTAATAGGAGAAATTTTCTATAAATTAATTTATTAATAAGTTCATTTTAGCTTATGGAGAAATTTATGTCATTTTTCTTTCCTATTTTTCTTTTTAAAAGTGTTTATGAAGAAGTATATCCAAAATGACCTATATCAGTATATCTAATAAAAGGTCTTCACTTTACAATAATGTATGGAGATCTCACCTGGTTAGGAATTTGGTGTAGTTTACTCAAGGAAGGTTCAGAGTCTAGACTTTGCCTCTTCTGCATCTCTGGAACTTTTCTGGTAATTTGGATGTGAATTTCACCCCTTTTCACCCCTTGGAGAGGTATCCACTTGTCGGCTGTCTGGTTTGGAGGCAACCTTTGATATTCTACAGCACATTCACCTATACTTGATGTGGGTAGTAATGCATTGTGATCCTTGACATAAAGCATTAGGGGACTTCCATCATCAGGGAATTCTAAGGTCTGGTTCCACTGAGGGTTAAGAGTTCTGTATATGACCTACAGACAATGCCACAGCTAGTAAGCATTTTGAGTTTTGCAAGAGTGAAGTAATAAAAGCTTGGAAATACAGAGGAAACACGTAATTATGAGAAAAAACAGGGCTATAACATATGAATCAAAAGTCTAGTGATTTCCCTTTAGAAAATACTGTAAAATATATTAAAGTTTGATAACATTGAGAAATTCCAAAGGAAAAAGAGAAATTAGAAAAGCCCAATAGTAAATAGTTGTATAACTTTGTAATACCTCACTTCAATATGTAGATGTAGGACAATGACAACAGTAATAGCCTTATCCTACTAATTGAATCACATAATGTCATTGGACTTGATTAAAAACCAAATTCTAACAGATATTATTTACCATGAGATTTCTTTTAATAATTTCCTCTGATGTCTTCTTAATCTCCCTCTACCCCTTTTATATGTATAATAATGTAGTACTTACGGTTTTTTTTTTTTTTTTTTTTTTTTTAAATCTTAACATTCAATTTTATGAAAAAGAAACCAAGGATGAAGTATTCCTACCTTTGTCCTTTTCTTAAAGTTTCCGTAGTGTACCCTCACATATGGATCACTTGTGCCTCTGAGATCAGCAGCAACAAGATCCCTTCCCTCTATCAGAACAAGTTCAATCCAACCATTGCCTGACCCTGACCCTGAACCCGAACCCTGTCCATTCCAAAGGAGTAAAGCAAGTTGGAATGAATATCCCAGCCATGAAAAAACATCATGAGTAAATGACTGAAAGAAACACTAATTGAAGTGATAATATGCAACTTAATATGTTTAGCCTTTTGCATCCTTTATTCATCTTGTAACTAAATGATTGAAAGAATCACCAATTTCCAAACATACCTTTGATCCTTCTTGGTCATCCGCTCTAACTGCTATTTGAAGTCTTAATTCTCCAGAACGCACTCTTTCAAGAGGGATCCATACATCCCTGACTGAGCCATCAACAAGTCCTTCCAAATTCACATGTGCACTACCAATGTTTTCATCTCCAAAAATTTCTTCAGTAAAGGCCTTTATTTTTAAGTATTCCCCACCACCAATCTCATCGAATTCAAACGTCTGATTCCAGACAGGATTTGGAGTATGAACAGTCCTTGATTTCTGGACAACCTGACAAAATTAAATAAAGCATTATCATTAACCTTGAACCTCAGCTAATCAAGTAATGAAAGAGCTGTCAGTGCCTTGCAGACATGCAATGCCACTCACCTTTCCATATTGCAATTTGATGTATGGATCAAATTTTCCAGATTTGTCTTTTGCAGCAAGATCCTTTCCTTCTACAACAGTTACACTAAGTTTCCTTCCGGTTCTTAACTGAAGATTTGGTGATCCATTAATTGACTGCTGAGAGCTGCTACTCCGGAGACTGTTCAAACTATGTGAACCATCAGAAAATTGCCACTCTTTTACTACAACGCTCACCTTCAACTGGGAAAATGATAAGGTGAAATTAATAAAATGTCTGATTCGATCCCAATCAGAAAGGTGAATCAATTATCCATTTTTAAGTACAAAATGTGACAAAAGAGCATTCTTAGCTCTAAAAACTAGTCAAAAGAAGAATAGAAGACTATGCATGTAAGAATATGATACATTTAAAGGCCAATTAATTTAGTAAGATCAAAGAACATTTTGATACAATAAACTGAAGCTGTAGAGGATAGCAGAATACTGGTACATTACAAGCATTACACCAGAAAGACTACCAAAAATGAAACTCTATCCTCCATTTGAAACAATTAAATACCAGTGTTTCAAGTTCACAAATCAACCAACGAGATTGATAGTATAATCAAGTTCATTTGACATACATGAAGAAAAATATTGAATAATTACGCAATCATATTCAGATTCTTGCTTTGTATTTTATTTAATCAAGATATATGTAAATTGTAAATAATAGGAAAGAAAAACCCCATTAGCTTTATTGAAAAGCAAATAATGATTCAGTAAGATGACCAAGGTGTCTGTATTATATTTCTTAATGAAGGAAGAGGGGTAGGAGGAACTGATTATTACATGATCAAAAAATAGTGTACCTCTCCAGAGTTGGCCCCCTCAAACGGGACAACCATTTCAATTTCATCTCCACAAAACATTGCTTGCTTTGCTATGACTCCAGAATCAGGTCCTATGGCCCACATTATTGTTGAATCATCTTCAACGTGCCTCAACTGCAGACAAAAAACTACTTGTTGGGAAGAAATAAAGGCTGGAAAAAAGAATTCATATCTGAACGTATATAATACTTATCGGTAACTGATATTTTCCTGTTGCTAGCTCAAAAAGAAGAACATCAAAGACAGTACCTTGACTTCACAACTTGCTAGATAGTCACACTTCACATTGTTGGGAAGACACTCATAAAGATTGAATCGAAGAGTTCCCGCATTATCATGTAAAACCATATTGAATGGTGCATCCCATCTGGGGGTTGAACCAAGTCTGACATCTGTTCTCCTGGTTAACTCCTCCACTTCTACCTCTACAAATGTCTCTAGGTCCTTGTGATCAAAATTGTCCTCTGAACAACCGTTGGTTGTACCATTTGGCTGCCTCCTAGATGTCTTAAAGCAACTCCTAGAAAGTTTATTTGCTGAAATCACTCTAATATATATAATGCCTCCAACTGCTTTTTTCCTTAAATCAACTGCAGGCAAAGTGAAACAACGACGCCGAGGTTCCACCATGGTTTTAACCAAGGTGTCAGTAAAAAGCTTTTCCTGCATAATATGTAAACTTTCGATCAGCATAAAACATTATAAGCTCCTGCTAAAAACGTAGAAAGTTAGAAGAAAAAAATCTCAGAATTTGTTGAGACAAAGAGCATATGATACCAAAGATCTAATTGATACTTCTATAAGAAACTGTTCTTGACGGATGAACCTATTTCAATATTATTAGTTATTAATTATTTCTTGTTGGTTTAAATTTCTGTTTAACCTACAGGGACACATCCTGCCTTATATTAAAATTTAATTAATCCCAAACTAGATTCTGTGAAAATATAAAAAAACTTCCTGCTTGATCTTCTATTCTTGATAGAATTATACGTGATTAGCAACAGGAAACTTTTTATACATATAGTCCTTATATTTGTATCATATGAACTTAAGCATCAGATTGAAATCCATTGACGCGTAGAATTAGCATCAATATCTGCTAGTCAAAATGGGTTCTTATTTCTTAAAGTTGCAGCTGAACCAAAAGCACGTACAACTTTCTACGAAGCACCAAAAATAAATGACACTAGGGAATTCAACACAAAGAAATACAATGTTGGCACTTTTCTATGAGTATAAACATTAAACTTAGCGGAAACACACCAGCCAAGAAGAAACACCAGGCCACTCAGTGGCAGGGAGGGACTGGGTTTTCCCCCCCTCCGAGGCACCACC